TGTATATATATATATATATATATATATATATATATATATATATATATATACACATACAAACATATACATACAAATACATTTTATGTGTAATTTATTATTTTATTTTAAAAAATATTTTAGCATTTTATTAATGCGTAATATACAATTTTAAAATATATATACACACACATACAAAAACATTATATGTATAATTTACTTTATTTTAAAAAATGTTTTAGTATTTTATTAATATAAAATATAATATTTAAAAATATATATTTTAATATATAAATATGTAAGAAATGTGAGTGTGTGTATATATATATATATATATACATTTAAAATATGTATGTATCATATTATCATATTTTATTGTTTATGATATAATAATATGAATAGATAACATAATTAATCATATTATTTATTATATTTTATAATGTATTCATTATAATTTGATATATTATTCTCAAATATGTTAATACATTTGCATATTTTTGGGTATATACAATAATACAGTAATATATAAGTATATATAGCACAGCAGATTTGTTCAGTGTTGAATTGTGGAGTGAAGGTACTATGTGTTTCTTTGCCTCCCTCGTGCATCAGAAAGGGCCCCCAAATATTTGACTTGCTGCGTAGTGTTGTTATGTGTTTGGCGTGCATGTTGGGCCGTGTACGAGTGTGTGTGTGTGTTTGGAGTGAACAGGCAGAGGCATGAAGCTCGTAAACTTGGTCTCGTGGTGAGAAGAGGGGTTCAATGAGGGGTCAGCTTTTAACCCCCTTAAAGAGTGGGACGGGCCCGGCCCCGCTGGGGATATGGCTCTTATCTCTGATTGGTCACCTAACGGGCGGAGCTGAGAGAGATGCTCACAAAAGTGTTTATAGTACCTGCTCTGAATGTTCGACCTCTAAAGCTGCTCTTCATGTTTATCTCTGGTTTTACTCTGCTTTTTATGCAGCATTAATCGAGAGAAGAGCTCCTTAAGCTGTGGTGTGCAACATAATATGTACAATTTATTATAAAAGCCTATAAAATACACATTTTAATTGGCATTTTTATTTTTCCATGTGATCTCCATAAATTGTAATACAGTTTTGTGTGTTTAAGACTCCAATGCATAATGTACAGTACATTGCAATGTGAATAGTAGGATGCTTGGGAAAAAGATGATGCATTTTTTTATGTCTTTAATGCTCACCTAGGCATCTATTTGAATACAAATATAGTAAAAACAGTAATATTGTGAAATATTACTATTTAAAATAATAGTATAGTAGTTATATAGTTATATAGTATAGTAATAAATAATAGTTTTTTTTGTGAATATATTTTCAAATGTAATTTAGTCCGGTGATTCTCCTCACCCATGTCTCTAATGTCATATGGTCTTTAACATTTCAGATGGTGACACCTCTCACAGAGTGTGTAATTCACTTCCTATGAATTCAAAGTAGAACTTCCCCTCCTTTGTGAAGGTTAAAATGGAAGCGAAGCACCTGGGGTGATGCAGAGCGGTCATTAATCATGTGTGGACTTGTGCCCTGGCACTCGGAGGTCAGAGGTCACGGGGAATTTTTTAGGCTGAGAAAGAGCAGAGCTGTGCCGCTGCCCGGGGTGTGAGGTCATTGAGTCAGGGGGTCAAAGGTCAAGCGTAGCATGGGAATAAATGCAGAAAGCATTGAAGTTCTGTGGAACGTGTTAATTTATGTTTTGTGTTCAAATAAACTAGTGTTCTGAAAATTTGCCACCAATAGCATGTTGTGGGTGGTTGCTATGGTGTTGCTAAGTGTTTCTTACTGGCACAAATCTCTCGGCTTTGTTATTCTGGTCTCTAGTCTATTGGATTTTTCATCCAAAGTCATAAATCTGATCATTTTTAGACTTAATAAGCTGCATGATTTGAGGAATCATTCACGTCTGGAGCACAAACGGTGCTGGATGAGTTACATGCCAAAGTTTAATACTCTGGGTTTGTTCAAATCCATAATCATAAGTATGAGCAATAATTTTAATGATGTTTGCCTTTGATAGAAGCCAGCAGCGTTAATAGAACTTAAATGTGCTTTTATTGTCTTTTTTTTTTTTTTTACTGTTTTCACCCCTGTTCTTTCCTTTGCTTCATCAGGTTTATCAACGCCAGGAGAAGAATAGTCCAACCGATGATCGACCAGTCCAACCGCGCAGGCAAGTGCCTTGTAAACTCACTCAGATCTTTTTAGTTTCAATTCTCAGAGCTACACTGAAGTGCCGTTCATCCAGGACATGCTCTCGCTTTCCATCTGCACTATATTTTAATTACTGGTCTATGCAAATATTTGTGAGATAAATGAATTTGGCTGTTGCATTGCATTTTACAGTTTTTTTTTTCAGTGTTTTGTGCCATGAACATCATTTTTTTAAGACCATGGCTCAAATTTAAAGGTTTTAGTGTGCAGCAGTTTTAAAACAATTTCCAAATATGCTGAAAATTAAAACAATGGGCCAAATGTATATCTCCAAACATGATTTCTGTTCAATTGTGTTGTGCTATTTTTAAACTCAAGAACATGCGCATACATGAACTGCCCCTAAAATGTATATGTAAAATGTATTTCAGGATGAACACAGACACACACACACACACGCACACACACACACTCTCTCGCTCTCTCTCACACACACACACAGACGCACACACACACACTCTCTCGCTCTCTCTCACACACACACACAGACGCACACACACACACACTCTCTCTCTCTCTCTCTGTCTCACACACACACACACACACACACACACACTCTCTCTCTCTGTAACACACACACAGACGCACACACACCCACTCTCTCGCTCTCTCTAACACACACACACAGACGCACACACACACACACTCTCTCTCTCTCTCTCTCTCTCTCTAACACACACACACACACGCGCACACACACA